ACCAGTTCATTGATAATGTTTATTTTGTGCCTAACTTGAAAAGCAATATTTTGAGTTTGGGACAATTGTTGGAGAAAGATTATGTAGTCCATATGATGAATAGAAAGTTGTTACTGTTGAATGAGAAAAAGGAGCTGTTAGCAAGAGTACCAATGTCAAAGAAACGAATGTTTCCCTTGAATATTCAGACGGATGTTGCAAAATGCTTGAAAGTATGCGTGAAGAATTCCCATTGGCTTTGGCATTTAATTCCCATTGGCTTTTCGGCATTTCAAGGTTTGGCATCTCAATTTTGGCAGGGCTTCTAAAGTTACTGAGTCAAACAGAAGATGCCGTGCATAGATACCACCAATGATCAACCACAATCAACTATGTGAAAGGATGTTCTGTTGGAAAACAATCCAGGAACCAGTTTTCCCGCAAAGGAGTCCATTTCAAGAGCAAAAGCACCACTCGAGCCTCATTCATGCAGAATGTTTGTGGAACCCAATAACGTCCAATACTCACCTTTCGCGTACATAACAAGATATTCTTATTATTTGTTGATGCATCTATAGCAGAAAAGGACGCTGGGTTTAATAATAACAAATATTTCTTATTATTTGTTGATGATTATAGCAGAAAGACGTGGGTTTATTTTTTGAAGGAAAAATTAGAAGTCTTTGGAGCATTTAAAAAATTCAAAGCTATTGTTGAGAAAGAAAGCGGGAAGTATATCAAAGCACCTAGATCCGACAGAGGAGGAGAGTTCACATCAAATGAATTCAACAAATTTTGTGAAGACAATGGCATTCGTCATTTTCTGACAGTTCCAAGATCTCCCCAACAAAATGGTGTCGTGGAAAGAAAGAACAGAACGGTGCTTAACATGACAAGAAGCATGTTGAAGAGCAAGAACTTACCAAAGGAGCTGTGGGCAGAAGCTGTTGATTGTGCAGTCTACATTTTGAACTGGTCTCCAACTACCAGTGTTCTAGATTTAACACCACAAGAAGCATGAAGTGGAAGAAAGCCAAGTGTTTCTCACTTACGTGTTTTTGGAAGTATTACATATGTTCATGTGCCAGATGAAGAAAGAAGGAAGCTTGATGACAAAAGCAGAAAGTATTTGTTTGTGGGCTATTCTGAACAATCAAAAGGATACAAGATGTTCGATCCTGATTCTGGAAAGATGATCATTAGCAGAGATGTGACTATTGATGAAGAAGCATGTTGGGATTGGAGTAATGAAAAGAAGAAGAGTTATAGTTTTTATCCATTCTCTATGGATGAAAACAATGACAATGATCTCATGCGATTTGAAAAAAAAACCAATGACAAATGCATCCAGACGGTAACCAATTGCTACACCAGAAAAACTACTACTTCCCTCTATTCCAGGTTGATTCTGTTGGAGAAGAGAAAAACCAAATGGAAAAGTCCCAGAGAGGGCCACTAAAGCTAAGGACGGGATTGAAATCTTATGATGTAACAAGACAATCTCAGTGCACAGTGATTAACTGCTTTATTGTCATTTGTTGTATAAGTGAAACCAATTGATGCAGAAGAAAGCAAATGAAAGATATGTTGCATGGAGAAAAGCCATGGAGGAAGAGATTCAAGCAATCGAACAAGAACAAAGACGTGGGAGCTTTTACCTCACTTTTTCCAGCGGGAGAAAATAAAACCCATTTTTGGTGCTGTTTTTAAATGCCGGGTCTGCTTCCAAAGACGAAGAAAGAACTCCTCATTTCGCCAAAGTGCAGCAGAGCGTTGGGAAATTGTGAACTTCCAGCGGGAGAAAAACCCATTGGTGTTAAATGGGTGTTCAAGACGAAGAAAGATGCAGCAGGTGAAATTGTGAGACACAAGGCGAGGCTGGTAGCAAAAGGATTCAGTCAAAGAGCTGGCATCGACTATAATGAAGTTTTTGCTCCAATTGCTAGATTGGAAACGATCAGATTGGTAATCTCAATTGCTGCACAAAACAGGTGGAAGATTCATCAAATGGATGTCAAATCAGCTTTTCTGAATGGATACTTAGAGGAAGAAATTTATATTCAACAACCACCTGGTTTCATTACCAAAGGGCATGATGATAAAGTGTTAAAGTTGAAGAAAGCACTTTATGGGCTCAAGCAAGCACCAAGAGCCTGGAATAGCCGAATTGATAAATATTTTCAAGAGAATGGTTTCTCTAAATGTCCACATGAATATGACTTGTATGAAAAATGAAAAATGAAGACATAATGATTGTTTGTCTATATGTGGATGACTTAATTTTCACAGGGAGTAATCAGCAGATGTTTGAAGAATTCAAGAAGGCGATGGCTCATGAGTTTGAAATGACTAATATTGGCCTTATGTCATATTACCTTGGCATTGAAGTTTGGCAGAATGATGATGGAATTCTCATTTCTCAAAATGGCTTTGCAAAGGAGGTTTTGAAGAAGTTCAAAATGGAGAATTGCAATCCTGTCAAAACACCGGTTGAATGCAGCTTAAAGTTGACTAAAGATGAAAATGGTGTGAAAGTGAATCCGACAATTTTTCGAAGCTTGGTTAGAAGTCTTAGATATCTGACGTGCACAAGGCTAGACATCCTATATGCAGTTGGATTAGTGAGTAGATACATGGAAGCGCCAACAGAGTCTCATTGGAATGCATCAAAAAGAATACTCCGTTATTTAAAAGTACAATCAATTTGGCCTACACTACTCAATTTCTAATGAATTTAAATTAGTTGGATACAATGATAGTGATTGGGCCGGTGACAAGGATGAAATGTCTATCTAGTTCAGCTTAAACGAATATTTTCTAAAAACTCGAAATATACTTTTACACTAGAAAGATTAATTTAGTTTGGAAAATAGCACAACTAGGAGTAACCGATCGATTGAGGAGGCCTGGTTGTAGCAGAAGAGATTGAGTGAATAGATATTTCAGATTTTAAAATACCTCTAATTCTTTTAATTAATAGGAGATTGTAATTTTCTAGTTTTAGGAATTTCTTTCCCTCTGTTATAAATAGAACCTTAAGTCTATGGAGAACGCCAAGGGGATCCCTTTTTTTTAGTATTTGAAAAACTGTTGCATATCTACTTGAGTATGGGTGGGTTAGTTTTTTTTCTCTTAGAGCTGATTTTTATCTCCATGGGCATAGCATGTAAGGTCTCAAAACATTTTTGGAAGTTATCCTTTATCAAGAGTAGAGATTCGAATCTCTATCTGTAGTAGATAGTTCTTATTGATTAAGATCTGTGAGATCTTTAAATTCATATGTAGTTAGATATTCGATTCATTAATGTTCCATAAGTGAACTCTTTGTTCCTAGTCTACATGAGTCGAGTGCAGAACTCCATCTCCACATTTTTATCTTTAAAAAATATTCAATGTGGCCAGTTGTTCAATTTAACAAGATAAATAAGCATATAAACTAATCAAAACAAGATATAAATAATGTTAATTATTTAGTTGAGCTGATTCCAAAAAATAGCAATAGGTTATTTGATAGTCTTGATTCGTGAAACAAGATGCTTTTGTTGTGAAATTAAATTATTAAAAGGAGATCATCACATATCTATAGCGTTATAGAAATGAGAACCATTGCTTGGATCTAGAGTTTTATTAGGGTAGGGTCTTTCTAGTGCTATATATTATGATATAGGCGAAATGATTAGAGTATTACATCCTGATGACCATGCTTTGATAGATGTCCGTTTACTTATGGTATAGTATATGATACGTGAAGTCATATTGGCACTGACTCCCTTAGAGTGCTTGGATTATAATACGATATTAACTAACGGGATAAAATTGATTGATCGGTCAATGATTGTTTTATCAAAGATTAAGTAAATTATTTGGTCTTTAACGTCATTGAATAATGTTATCCCTGAGAATCAATGAAATTTTTAAATTTTCTATTTTGATGTTTGCATGAGAAAGACTTTAAAAGTCTATTCTAAATTACGATCACTCTATGGGTTGTTAACAGGGTCATTAAGTGCATGAAGTTAGCCACAGAAATACGTATAGCGTCTATACTAGACTAAATGACAATAAGTAGCTTGATTTCATTTAACTCCGCCGACTATTGAATCCTATATATGTTTGTATTCTATTTTGTTATTATAGTTTATTTTAAACTATCTTTCTCATCGTCTACGTGCGTTTTTATATAATATTACTGACTATGTTATGCTTGTATACAGGTAAAATGGTAGTGATAGGGATTAAATTTTTTGAGAGATTTGTTATGATGGTGTGATTTTATATGAGAGATATTATATCATATTACATTCATAATTATTAAGGATGAAGGCATTATGATATTTGAAATCGGACAACTAGGATGGTGAGAGATGTATGAAATGCCGGATTAAGTTGCACAATATGTTTAGAATATACATTATTCTAGATGATATTAATTTGAGTAAATGAGTGGGATACTATATAGTAATATGTTTACCGTTAGTGATAAAGATATGGCCTAGTTACTATTGTGGAGTTGAATGAGTATTTGAAGTTTAAATGGAAGTTAGTCGCGAGCTGATTACTTTTTTTATGGATAAGTAGCTGCGATGTAGGAATCCGCTTCATATGTTTTGTCTAATGTGTATTGGTGGTCTGTATTAAATTACATATATCTCTTACTCACACAGATATATAGTAGTGAGCTCTCAATATTAAAATAAGAGTTATGAATAAGAGATGATACAGAGATAAGATATGAATAGAGTTATATACCCGTTAGATAAGAAAGGATGCTGTTGTGAGCAATGCCATACATATTTATGATCACTTTAATTCTATTAGTTGAAAATCTGTGGCTGGTCTACAAAATGTCAAAAAGGAATTCATAGTGGAGGTTGGTTTTATATTTTATAGGTTAGTTATGGAAGCATGGGCTGTTTTAGGTATAAGCGTGTGGTTTTTGTTTAATGTAATGGTGGTTGTTTATAAACCACAAAATTATACAGTGTTTGCTCTATAAATAGAGTTTGTGTGTGCAGAGTATGTGATAGAGTTTGTAAGATAAGTGCGTGTGTTTAAGAAAATATTAATGAAGTTTTATTTTAAGTGTTAGTTGATATTCCTACTATTTAGTCCTCTTCCTTTAACAAGAACCATTTGCCCAAATATCTTATGAAAAACTCTCCCAAGCAATAGATGGCTTCTCTCCCTCTAATTTGATTGGTATATGTAGTTTTGGTTCTGTGTATAAAGGGAGCATTGACGATGAAGATGTTGCAATCAAAGTGCTTAACATTGAGCGCTGAGGTGCTTCTAGAAAGTTTCATAGTTGAGTGTGTTGAAAGAAATTCGCCATCGAAATCTGGTCAAGATCGTAACTTGTTGCTCGAGCATTGATTTTCAAGGTAACGATTTTAAGGCTCTAGTGTATGAATACATGCCTAATGGGAGTTTAGACAAATGGGTGCATCCAGACCAAGAAACTTATGACGATCAAAATGATCTAAGCCTTGTTTGTAGAATCAACATTGCCATTGATGTGGCTTGTGCACTTGATTATCTCCATCACGATTGCCATCAGCCAATCATTCATTGTGATCTGAAACCGAGTAATATTCTTCTTGATAGCAACATGACTGCCCATATTGGAGACTTTGGGTTATCGAGAGTTCTTCCACAACTTAGAAATCTAACTGAAAGCAGCTCATCAATTGGAATTAAAGGAACTATTGGCTGTGCTGCACCAGGTGATTTAACCTCAATTTTCGTTTACTCATGGTGTTTCTTTCAAGAAATTGTATTTATTGATTGCACTTTCGTTCATGGAATTAACAGATTATGGTCTAGGAGGAGAAGTTTCAATACGTGGAGATATCTACAGTTATGGGATTTTATTATTGGAAATGATAACAGGAAAGAGACCGACTCATGATATGTTTGAGATTTCCAAGGTTATGGTAGGAGTTGAATGCTCCATCGAGTCACCAAGAGATTGAATGAACATGACTAAGGTTGTTCATGAGCTGCTCAAGGTTAGGGCTGTACTTGAGAAAACTACAACCAAAAACCATAACAACAGACATCGGTACCTGTATTTATTTATTTATTTATTTTATTTACTTTTTTTTTTGTATTTAATTTATTTTTCTAATATCTGTTGGTGCTAGACAATGTTATTTCATAATGAGCTTACCGCGTTATCTTGGAGGACAAACAGAGTAAACAAGAGCAAGGTTGTAAGTTCATTTTAGCTAAACGTGAACAAGATCCTGGCCAGGTGTTAGAATTTGTTAGATATTTGTAGAGAGATCTTTTGTGGTTCAATTCCATAAATTAAGGAAATGAAACATAAACAAACAATGGTGTTACTTGTGAATGTGTGTGCATAATTTAGGAATGTTGTCTCAATAAAGATTTTTTTTTTTTTTTTGTTGTCTTATAGATTGTCTAATAATAAAAGTGTATGTACAATCAGACAATAATTCTAGTTCGAATCTCTCTTTTTGATACTTAAAAAAAAAAAAAAAAAATTCTGTTCGAATCTCTCTTTTTGATAAACTTAAAAGACAAAAAAAAAAAAGAGAAAGGGTGTTAGTTATTGTATTACTTAAAAGAAAGCATTATTTTGTAAGCCATATATTGTTAAAAAAAAAAAAAAAAAGAGAAAGGTTTTAGTTATTGTATTACTTAAAAGAAACATTATTTTGTAACCATTATATTGGACATATTGTTTAGTTGATTTTTATTATTTATCACAAGATTATTCAACTTTAATTTTTGACCGTCATAGCTAAAAAGATTAAAAAGAAAAACTTTATTATAGTTTTATTTTAGTCTAAATAAATGTTGGTTATATTTCAAAATTTTTTTTATTTTAATTTAGGACAATGATACGACAGAATTAAAAGTGTTGTCAATTTTTTTAAGTTTGAAGAAAATTATCATTTCTGGTGATGACTACAATTTTCATCTCCCGTCCACAAAAGACAATTATAGCTCATTTTTCCTAATTCAAAATTTACATCATTCTCATTTTGATTTATTTAACAACAATAATATTTGGATTGCAATTCTGAAATGGGTGAAAATTCATTGTTTTATTTTATAAAAGAATTTCTATAGTAAATTCTTAATTCTCTCTCCCTTGTTTGGGTCGTTGTTGGTATGGTAATGTAGAGAGTAAGTTTTGGCTTTGCATTGCTTTTCATTACTTTCTTTTTTTTTTATTGCTTTTCATTATTTTTTTATTAATTAATTTTTGATTGGTTGTGATATGAATTGTGAGGGTGGTGGTGCTTTTATGATCTTTTAGCTTAAGTTTTATGTCAGTTTTTTTGGAGATTGTGAACACCTCAATTTTGTATCTCAGATAATTGGAGTAATCCATCAAATGGAACCTGAATAGAAACTCAAAATCAACGCAAAGTCGAGAGGCGAGGCGTACTGATTCAACTCTCTCTACGGTATCATTTTCAAAATAGGTCAGTACCAACGGAAACTAGACTGAAATATCTTTCCAACGATTTAGGACATGTATTGGAGTTGAAATGAGCTGCAAACCCGTCAAACCGGACGAAGGACCAAACCAAACTAGATATGTGAACAAATAGCTTTTCTTGATGTGTGAAGAGGTGATTAGGAAAAGGAGAGTTCGAAAGTTTTGTGTAGGTTGGTCAGCTTTTTAAAAGTATTTTTGAAAAACTGTATGGCATTCCCAGTTCCCACCATTTCATTCTTTTGGTGACTGTTACATGTTAATGGTCATTTGAGAATTGTTATCCGTCATCTTTTCGTCTTTTCTCTTCATAAATAGGGGAAGAAATAATAGGTTCTGCAGCCTCATTTGTGCCTAGTGACTCCTCTTTATCTTCAAGGGGGTTTCCTATAAAATTGAATCATCATTTTAAAAATTATTTTGATTGGTGTTGAAAGGATACTCATATTGTTTTGGAAACATATTTTTTAAATCACTTGAAAAATGCATACTAAGGCATAATTTAATGGTAAGTGCATATATAATCTGATAATAGATTTAGGTTCGAATCTCAATACTAAAAAAACAAAAAGAAATCACGTAAAAAGTTAATGTTGATGCGCTTTTAACACATATATTCATAATATTTTTCTTTTCCAAGTTCAACTATTCCTTAATTTCTTGCTTAATAATAATAGTTATGACCTATTCAATTTATTGAAAAATTATAAAACCCAAATAAAAATAAAAAGCTAGTCAACAGTCAAATCTTTCTGCATATAGAATATTGACCTAAATGTTCAAACCTTACCAGTATAAATACCCTTCAGCCTTTTCTTTTGAAACATTCTTCCCAAAAAAACAGAAAAAAATAATCTTCACTTAGTTTTGCATTGGGAATTGTCTTCAAGAAAATTATGAGGCTACTCAACATTACTCTGGCTGCATTCTTGCTTCTTTTTTTACATGTGCAACTATTCCAGGCAACTAGAATATTATCTGGAGACCTGAACAAAGGACTTGGTCTTCAGTCTCTTCAAAGGGAACCTGTCCCTCCGTCAGGTCCCTCAGGCTGCACCAACGGTCCTGAGAGCGGCGGACCAAGCTGTCCTAATACTGTTAATGTCAATCAAATGAATTTTGCTGGTAATGCTCTTCCTCGCGCTTATCCGCGTCCCATGGTTCAGTTTGGAGTCGCTGCTAATCACAAATAAGAACATTAATTCACAACAATTCTAGCCTTTTTCTGTTCTTTCATTCTTTTTTTTTTTTTTTTTTTTTTTTTTGGAAGTCAGCTGCCTAATAACAAATAAGAACAGTTAAATTCACACAGATTTAGCTTTGTCTGTTCTTCATTCTTTTTTTTTTTTTTTTTTTTTTTTTTGTAAATTTTTGTTTGTAATCAATTGGTTTTTTTTTTTTTTTTTTTTTTTTTTTTGTAATTTTTTTGTAATCAATTTGTACATCTTTATTGTGTAAGATATACATAGATTTTCATTTATACTATTCAAAAAGAACATTTTGTAAATTTTTCAATGAATAAATATATTCTGGTTATTTGAAACTTCTCTTTTCTTTTTCATTTATGTATCTATAATATATGTAATGTTTATTCATATTTATTTACGAAGCTGACCATCATTTCTGGAGAAAACTTCCGAATCGATTATGCATGCATACTGTTTCTTTGTTTGTAACAAATGAACGTAAATAAATATTAATTTGATTTATAAACGAGAGTCGTATATTAAAAAAAATCAATTGTAAACAAGTTTTCATGTTCGATTTAACAATGAAAGTTTTTGTAAGAGAGTTACTTTAGTTGTTTGTTAATGAAACAAAATAGAAAAATGATTGAAATTTTCATTCTAACCCAATTCTTGGTTTTGGTTTGTGGATTCTTGCCTGAAATAATAGACCAATTGCTTGATTTGAAGCTTCCATGTGCAGAGGAGACAAAACTAAAATAGCCAAAATTTGCGTATTGAAATTGAAGTCAGAAAGTGGAATAGGCAGCTTCAAATCCAGCATGCCATCAATTTTTTTAATTAGCTTTCCTTTGACTGATGCTAATTAAGTCAAAGCTTACTTATCATTATATTAAATACGCTCATGATATTTTCTAAGAACTGAACTAATTATTAAGACCATTATTCCTTTTATTTTTATTTTTTTATTTTTTTTATTATAACTTAAGGTGACTGAACATATGAGGAAAATAAATACCCTATGTGTTTTAGTATTACAGATCAACTTTCTCATATTGTAATAAATTTATCACGGTACAAAAAATTTAGAATTTAATTATAATTTGAGAAAGTCCAATTATAATTTTTTTTTTTTTTTTTTTTATAATTTTTTTTTTTTTTTTTGATGGAAAATACGACTGCATTAATTCACTGGAATAAAATTGATACAGGTGCTCAGGATGACATTTCATACTCTAAAAACAAGGAGCCTTCTCCATAGGAGGCCCTCGCAGGATATGAGCTCCACGATTAGTCGGACGACGAATTCCACCTAACATGAATTTTAGGGCCTACGAGACAATTTTTTTTTTTTTTTTTTGATGGAAAATACGACTGCATTAATCACTGGAATAAAATTGATACAGGTGCTCAGGGATGACATTTCATACTCTAAAAACAGCTTCTCCATAGGAGGCCCTCGCAGGTATATGAGCTCCACGATTAGTCGGACGACGAATCCACCTAACATGAATTTTAGGCCTACGAGCTAAAATCGTTTTAAAATCCTTAATAACACAACCAATTTCAGAAAAATCATCTAAGAAAGAGCCAAGAGCATTGATTGCCCTAAAGTTGTTACTTTGTTGATTACAATTAAGTAAATTGGTTTAAAATTCAAATTGTATGATTCTCCTAAAGTTTAGGATTAAACTTGCTTAGAATGAATATATGACCTGCATCAAACTAATGAAAACATTAATTTTTTAAAAGTTGTTCTTTTTTTTTTTCAGTATGTGGTAGAAATACCTTCATTTTAACAAAAAAAAAACATTTATTTTCATTTCTTTAGTACATGAGTGAGCTTAAATACCGTATTTAAGCAAGCCAATCCCACCATATTTATAGTGGATATATGTTTGTTGCTTTTAAGGTTACTTGTAAAAATTTGATACGTATATGGAGAATGACTAAGCATTGACAAAAATCTGTTATCTAAAACTATATATTTACTAATAAGAAATTATTAAAAATATTGTGGGCTTTGATTACCATTAAGGATCAGGTAAGAAAATGCTTCATTTGTGCAAGTGGTTGGCGGAAGTAGTAATAAATTACCTAGGCTAAACATATACGTTTTCAACTACTTAGTCGAATTTCGATATTTCACATCTTTTTAAAAAATTATTTAATTTGTTTAAATTATAATGAATTATTGACTGAATTAATTTTACTACTCTTAATTTATTATTTGAGTAAAAAACTATTCAATCACTATTAATCATATACAAAGGGGTAAAAATAGAAAAAAAAATTATTTTTTATGAAATTTAGAAATGTTATAATTATTTAGGGATATAGTAATCTCTCAATTGCGATAAATATTTGGAAATAAAAGAAGCAATTCAAATTCTTAGTTTCCATTTATCACGTTGAAGTAATACCTTGCTAGTTTTTTTGCAAGAAAATTTAATGTGAGACTTTGATCAGGCTTATATCTTTGACTAGCACATGTGAAGAAAACTAATAGAAAGAATAATTGCAGACATTGGAAATTTCTCTATTGCTTGAGAGTTAGGATTGCTCCATTACGGCGGCTAGGATTTCGTTTCAGCAATGATGACATTCTTTCTCCATAGGGAAGTTAGTTTCCACTTGTCCTTGTTTTCTCGGTTTTCTTGTTCTAGTTGTAGCTGGTAGTTTTCTATTTTCATAGTATTCTTTTATAAGTTTTTACGTTCCTTTGTTTTCGTCTATTTTTATTTGTTTCTTAGGGTTTATCGTTTTGTCAGTACCTGTCTCTTAACTAGATCCTTTTGTTTGTTTGCTTATATCAGTTGTTTATCTATTATTCTATTTCCATTATCATTAATTTGCAGTGGTGCTATGCGGAATGGATAAACAAAATACTTGTCGTATACCTAAGCGAAAGGATAAGAACGTGATTACAGAAGATGAAGCAGAAGTATTGGAGGCTAATATTGAAGAGGAAATTGAAAATACTGATACAGGTTCCCTATGTTTGGTGGGAAAGTTATGGATAAACCGAAGCTTCAATAAATTCGCACTTATGGAAACTATGGTAGGAGTTTAGAGAACCAAATATGGAAATTGAGGCCAACGAATGGAGTAAAGACATATATCTTTTCCAGTTTAAGCAGCAAAGAGATAAGCAGGAGATGCTATCTAAGGAGCCAGCGGATTTTGACAAGCATATACTGGTTCCAAAAGAAATTCAAGGGGAGGAAACCGACAGATATTGAATTATTTTCTACTTTGATTTGGTGTAGAGCTTATGAACTACCAATTAATTGTATGAACGGGGGGATGACAAAATCCTTAGTGAAAAATTGGTTCTTTATGGAATAGGGTTCAGATAGTAATGTTACTTGGGGAAAATTTATAAGGTTTCGAGTTTTACTTGATTTTGATTAGCCTCTATCTCGAGGTTCGATGGTGAAGATGGCTTCTGGTAAATCCATTTGGGCCCCATTTCGATATGAGGGCTTGCCAAATTTCTGCTTCCTATGTGGCAAATGTGGTCATTCATTCCGAAACTGTGATGATAGTGAAATAGAGAATACTAAGGTGGAAAACACGCAATATGAGGACTGGCTTAAAGCTTCTCAAGAAGAATGAGGAAAGTAAATATGAAGGAGAAGGACAATAAAGCTAAAGAATCAGTTGCAAGGACGATGATGTTTTCTGAGGACAGACGGAATGAGAATCAGCCACAAGGAGGAGAAGAAGATACTGTCCAATCTGTTTCCCATAAAAGGAGAGAGGAGCCCGTTAATGACCAGGTCCTTTTGTCCCAAACTATTGATTTTCTTAAGCAGTTAAAGGATATGTACTGCAAGAAAAGTGAATATTGTAGAATATTTATAGTCTTATGTATTTTTACAGTATATACTTTGTATAGTATGTGCAATTTGTACAAAATATACAAGTTTGAGCTTTTAGGCCCAAGTGGCCCTTTTGTTTGATCTTGTCATTTTTCTCATGGACTTCAACATTAGACTTCTTACTTGGGCCTTCCATTTGGGTTAGTGTCAACAATAATAATTATTGATAAATATATTTCAGGGATATTATACTAAATGTCAATTTTTAAATTTTATTTTTTAAAAATGTCAGTTTGACTTTAAAATTTGAATTATTGTCAGTTATGAGATATTTTTACTTTTGTACCATTTTTTAATTTGTAAGGCTCGTAAGGCGTTAGTTTGTTAGTATTTTAGTGTTTTAATTTCTTAATTTTTCCTTTTGTATTAATTTTCTATTTTCATTATTGTTTCCTTTTTTTTTTTTTTTTGCTGTGTTTCTCAGTCAACATTCTTTGTGCCAATATTTTCACAAGCGATTAAATCTTCTTCTTCTTTCAGTCATAAACATGAGAAATCGCATGCATGCACGCTCGGAATGAGAGTCCTCACCAAAAAATAGATTTTTGTTCTACAATCTCATTTTCGTTTCGCTTTCATTTCTATTCTTCAATGGAAAATCAATACCTAATTGACGATTTCATCTTCATAGATATTGTTTTTATTTTAAAGAGATAAGGTAGGACTCTTGATTTTATTTGGATTAATACTAATGCGGTATATATATATATATATATATATATACACCGTATTTACCGTTAAATCGAAAAATCTAGTTTTTTGGTCATTTGTTTATTCAATTATGAAAACAAATCACAATTATTTCGTGTATATATCTAGTTTTTCTATTTTCTTTTTCTAATTTACTTGATTCTTTAGAGATTGTGGTGGGTTGAAGGATAGGCGGTTAGTTTTAGGGTTGATTATGTTTGGACTTTGTTTTTGGCATGCTTATTGGAGGTGAAAGATTGCATCATTAGGAGATTATTTTGAAGCAGAGGTGGTTACTTTTAGAATAGTTGCTTTTGTTTTAAGAGTTGCCATTTCTTTTGCAAGGTTAATTTTAGTATTTTTAAATTTATTTTGATCAAATTTGTTATTATCTGAATAAATATTCTTTTCTGACATATAGTTAACTTTAAAACTTTACATTTGACATTTGTTAAATTGCCCCTATATTTTCAAACAGGTACCGTTATTTTCAGAACACATTTTCTTTATAAATGTTAGAGCAACAAATTATTCATAATGTTACAATGACGAAAATGCCCTTAGAAGCAAGAAACATGGTATATACATGTTCTATTTGGCAAATATACAAAACACTTTAAGTGCAAAAAAAGATAAACAAAATATGTGAAATTAATTAAATAGGAGCAAAATATACTACTTAAGTTGTGTAAATAAAAAATAAACTGATTAGTAGTTTAGGGTTTCTCTCTTCCTCTTTTCTTTCTCGTTTATTTAACCCTAGCTTTCATTTGGGGTTGTCGTTGTTAATCAGCGGTAGCCCCCTATTTTTCTTTTTTCTTCTCACTCATAATCTTTTATTCTTTTTTAATAAACTCAAATCTATTTTCTTTTAATAGATTTATTTTTTCTTTTTTTTATTATTATTGTTACTTTGTCTCCATATTTGAAGTTCTTTTATCCCTCCTTCTATAAGGGTTTAGTCATTCTTTGTGAATCTTTGTTCTTAAAAGGTATGATATTTGCTTTTATTTGATTGGAGAATTGAAATCTTATTTTACTGATGTATATCTTCAACCAATGGAGCCTGACAGTGAAGCCTGTTCCTCTATTGATGCTATTAACACATAGTGGCTTGAACTTATCCGTTTATGTCATACACAGCAAGTTGTTGGAAAAACAATCCAAACATAAAAAATCTGGAGAAGTTATTTTGTGGTCCAAATCAATTAAAGGATCAGTTGCTAATATGAAGCTTTATATTGGTCAATGTTATCTTCAAGCGAAAAATCCAATATGATTTATATTAGTTTTAGTTTTATTATTCAAAAAAATATAGATAAATATTTTGTTGTTAAAGGATTAACGAATTTTCTATTAATTATGATAGTAAGTTTTATGTCTGGTCAAATTGAGTATTTGTAATACTTGATTTTATTATTAATGAATTATATTTCTCAAAAAAGTCTTTTGTTTTTGAATTTATAACAGAAGTTATTTCACCTTCAACTCTATATCAAAATTCCTGCTTTCATCTAGCCTCTTGACACATAAATTGCTCCAATATTGAATCGTAGACTGAGATTCGCTAAGCTTGATGTCTGCAACCTTAATTACTAAATTGATGGAAAGATCGGTTATTTGACATCTTCAAGTGTCAATACTCTTCAAAATTGATTAAAAACTTAAATAACGCCATATTTTCTGACTTTTTGCTAATGCAAAAGTTTTATTTATGTGCATTATTAAAGCATGAAATTTGTTTATGCAAACCTGTGGCAATAATTGTTTATGCATAAAAGATTTATTTTGTTAAGAATCTCATATTACAGACATAAAAATGTGAGAAGCTACCTAACTAATTGGTCGGTGCTAACCTCTTAATATGGGTTAAGCCAAGTTCAAGCAAGTCTAAATAATAGATTTTCCATCTCATGAGTTCGATCTTCCCACCTCAATGGCTCAATTCAGTTACAGGGAACGATTAGTAAGCCCACATAAGTTATTAAAATGCATATTTTTATTTAGTTGCATTCACCCCATTTGATTACAAAATAGAAGATGAATCAATATTTATAATGATGGATATAGAAAAACGCTATATAGAAGCATAGAGGAATGGAGCTGAATGAAGACAGCAACAGAATAATTCCTCTCCTGATAATCTTTGGTTGCACTTCTCTGTCAGCCAATTTTGGGTACCATAGTCACGACATGATTGTCGTCGATGAAGACCCTGACCCTATCGCACCGGAAATCCCCTGACACACGCGACCCTTCTTTGACAGTATTGGCCTTAACCTTTGGGTTCTCTGTCATGATAATAACCGTTGCTGCTTCCCCATTAGTGCCAACTAGCTCCGGCCATGAACTCTTACCTGCAATTTTCCATGAACATCATTGGCTAAATCTCATATATATACTGTTTTCTATTAATAATAAGGTTTCAGTAGAACTCACCTTCACAACTTGACATTTCACTTCTTTTTGCTTTTTCTCTGTCGACTCTCTCTTTGAATGATGGGCTTGGGAGAATACAGAGAGTATTTATACTAGAAAATGCTCCCGGTTCATTTTCAAGTTAGCCGGCAGGAACCGTAGAGACGGGATAGGTTAATACAAACTTTCCTTCTCTTTTTTTTTTTTTTTTTTTTTTTTTTTTTTTTTTTTTTTTTTTTTTTTTTTTTTTTTTTTTTTTTTTTTTTTTTTTTGTGTGTGTGTGTTTTTTTTTTTTTTTTTTTTTTTTTTTTTTTTTTTTTTTTTTTTTTTTGTGTGTGTGTGTTTTTTGCTGAGATGGGCCATTTTGGACGATGGTTTTTGGAGCTTGTTAATTGTCTAAAGCACTGGGCAGCAACCATCGCCATGAAGACAAGACACGATCAATCTTACAATAACATTTTCCTTATACAAGACACACATGTAGGACGCGTACTTGGAAAAAACCAAGAACCAATATAATAACTGAGAATTTAATTGTTACTTTCTCGTTTTTATCTTTTCCATTCCCATCCCAAGTAATGATGTACTAAGCATCAGTGACTTGCATGATTCTTACTCTTGAAAATTTTTGCAGGTAGAAATGGCAGCTTGTGTCGGCTTTGTATTAGAATTCCAATGGCAACTGCTAAACTATTTTGCGGGATTTGGGAGTTTTTGTGAGAAGGCAAATAAGGGCAATAAAAGAAAAATACTCCAGGATACTAGTGAAAACTTTAGTCTGATAGAAACCAAAATAATATTATACATTAAAAGGTGAGAGGAATGAACAACGCACTAGGGAGAAATGAATAATTCTAAACCTCAGTTCCTTCCAGCTCCTAATACTGCGTTGATTTCTGGACACTAATGCCTAAAGCAAATGGTCAAAAAAAAAAAAATAATCATCTAGCTGCAGATATGATTAAAAAAAAAATCATCCCAGGTTTCTGTATCCTACATTTTATTTTCCAATAATAGTTGGCCTGCTAAAGTTCTGGAATGTAAAATCTATTGTGTAGTCTTCTTTCTACCACGGCCCCTCCTTGAAGTGCCTGTAACTCTCTTTGGAGGTTCTTCATCACTTTTCTCATTGTCACTGCCTTCATCAAAACTGTCTGTTTTGTCTGTGGATTCTTCCTCTTCTTTTGGCAATTTTCCTGAAGATTCCTTCTTTGAGAGCTGATCTCGAAGCCCTCTAAGTTTCTGTTTCTTTGAATTCAAGACCCCAACAAACTGGAAGCAGAGGATGACCAAGTCAATCCTAAATGTGACGAGAGATGAATGATGAAGATTAACTCTATTAGCTAGTTTCTGTTGCAGCATACTCAACAATTTAACAAGTAAGAAAACCCTTAGCAATGGACTCTTGGCTGAATTGCATCTGAATTTAGCATCTCCAACCATTACCATGAGAAGCTGGTTCATTCTTTCCATTTGATCTAATTCGCCAAATTGTTTTACAGATACAATAGGAAGACAGCCTATTCCATTTCATTCACAACAATTAAAGGTAGAAAAGCATAAATACTCAACCTAAGTCCTTGCCTCAATTTTCTCAATAAAAAGTTAAAACTAGTGTTTCATACTGAACCTCTGTCATGTAACAGGTACATGCAGTCAAACATTTGATGAGATACTGGCATATCCCAAAATCAAATTCACAAGGATATCACAAATCAAATCCAATGAGTCGAGAAAAATTCGGCGCATTTACCAAACATGGGATTGATATTTTGGCGTTTCCTAAACTTAAACAAGCTTGTTACTTGACATTTTGATACTATAAAAACATTACCACTGAAGTCTGAGCTACAGTAAATTCAACTTAACATAAAACCGAAGAAACTAAAATCTTCAACAAAAGTTCTTTTGGAATATAATTGTACCAATCTTCTGCATTGTACTTTATAAAGCAACATCAAATAACAATGCGACCACACTTGTAAACAAAAGTAGCATCCTGTTAACAAGAATTCAAGACTCACCTTTGCATATATTGCAGATTCAAATTCCATCTTCTCGCTGTTAAATTTCTCACTTTGTGCCAAACACTTCTCAGCTTCCTCCTTCATCCGCTCAAATGACCGAGTCTTGCTGACAACTTCTTCCTGTAGGTACATGGTACAATTGCACCCATACATATAGCACCTAATTACAAGTGATGCTACTCATAATCATCTATTTAACATGCACCAAACGGAAGTTACTCTGCATAAAACAATAGAACAATAAATTAAAAACTTACACTTAGTCTTATATTTGCATCGATCAGAAAATCCAAGATTCCTGCAGTAGTCCTCTTACAGTCAGGCGAAGGCTTGCATTTCCATCGCCATTCTAACCTAGTCCCTTCCTTTTCAAATGTCCATGACAACTACAAACACAAATCATCAAAAACCTTAATTTTCAAAATTTTCGAAAATTTTCCGTTTCTCTCGAACTTTCTCAGCAATTTAAAAGAGAATAGCATAAACATTAAATTAAAAATTGTAAAACCCAAATTAGGCAAATTACTAACTCGTTTATGGCCATCACCGGCATCCGCGAACCGATAGACAGAACCAGGCTGTTGAAACCCTAAGTATTGCTCAGCTAAATGAACATACTCAGTCACCGGCTGGTCCCACTGCGCTGCTCTCTCTTTCACATCCTCTTCTGTCGCTATCAATTTGACAAATGAACAAAGAAATTGTGTTCAACAACTAATAAAAGCACAAGAAAATAAGAGTATATACACAGAGAGGAGTCGATAGGTTGTCACACCATGGCAGACCCAAGCGTTGAGCCCATCAGTGATAGAGAGGTTAAAGTGAGTATCGAACCATGTTCCTTTGACGAAAATTGGTTCGGCCATGTCGGCGGAGTGTTCGAGCTTCAGGCACGTGTGCCTAGCTACTGCTGCCTCCGTTGTATCCATTTTTGAAGGTTGTTTGAGTTTCTTCTTAGAGAAGCTGTTAAGAACAGTAAAGTCTACAAGTTTCGGGGTTTTATTAAATCCGGAAAGTGGGAGATGGGCGATCTCTGACTTGATCAGTTGATCCTTCCCGCTCTCTTTGTCTCCAAATTTTACTAGTTGGGCCTAATTTTGGGCCAGCCTTTATCTTTGACTTTCAGTGGACGCTCATGGTCTGCAAAAACAAGTACAAGCCTAAATTTATATGTAGAAAGTGCTTTTTTCCTTTCTTCTCTTTCTCTGATACTCCTGCTCCATCAGTTACTAGGGTTTTTGTATAGCCACATGACAATAGGCTGAACATAGAGATATCTATAGAGAACCTACTTTCAAACCAAAATTGAAACCAATCAGTATGCCAGGTTAGGAGTTGACTACAACACAGGAACTAATTTCAATCTAAAAATAATTTATCTTTCCTGTGTGGAATTTTCTTATGAGTGAAAGTTTATTGGATTCGAAAAATATAAATTACTTATAATGATGTTAATGGTGTTTTCAAATTAATTTATATCAGCATCCACTGTTCTTTTTCCAATGTTATCCTCGTTTGGTATATCGCATGTCTGGGTTCAAACCTAAAAGGTTACTGGAGGTCATCTTGTTACATCTATTTCAGTCACTAAATGCACACAATAGTTGCATATCCGTCTCTGTTTGCTATTTCATTTGTCTTTGCAATTCTAAAGACTTTTAATTTAAGATGCTTATGCCAGAACTAATACAAGGTTCCTTTTGTTTTAACATTCAATGTACCACTGCTTATTGGCATGGAGTAAGGCACTTGTAGAAGCTCTGAAGAATACATTTGATAGTCAAAATGTATCCTTTGTAGAGACTGATGGGAGCAGGTATAAAGCGGAAACAACCCTCTTCGAAACCATATGAGGCAAACTAAAAACATTATCGAACAAATCAATAAACTGACCTCTTGAAGCTCTTCGAAACATATGAGGCAACTAAAAAACATTATCGAACAAATAATAAACTGACCTCTTTTGAAAAGCGCATGACATCCGCTCACGTCGGTCTTTCTTTCCCAGAAGATATTGGAGTTCACCACGATCCTTCTGCATATCCCTAACTTTAATCCCTAACTATCTCTCTGAGTGGCAGAGAATAGAATAACGTGCGTCTCTCTATTCTTAGGGTTTTCAAATCTTATATTAAAAAAAACTCTCTTCGATAGAAAGATATTTTTTTTTAATATAAAATAAATTAAATAAAAAATTATTTAATTAAAATAATTATCAATTATTTTAAAACTGAATAATTTATCTATTATTTAATACACCCTTAACTTTCCAAATAATTAGGGCACTACAGGGACCTCAGGAATAAAATAAATCAGGCTACTAATTATAATAATAACCTATGTAGACCAACATATTCTTATTATAATTAATCATGAATTATTCCACGAATTATTCCACTAGAAACTCATGAAACTGAACTCCTTAATTTTATTTCTACAATTCCACACAATAATAAAATATGTTCCCCCCGTTAGATGCTGTCATTTAAATAACTTACTGACAATTTATTTAAATCACAATATAACTTTAAGATTGTCGCTCAACTTATTATTTCATGTGTCGGATTCAAAATCCACCTGCAGGGTTTACACTATGAAACCTTATAAGCTTACTTAAAGTGCATCATCAATCTCTAAACCGAGACATTGATTCTATCATTAATTAATATTTCACAAACACAAAAAGCTTTGCCCAATTCACCGAGAATATTATTCCAATAATGAAACTCATCCTTTAATGAATCAAAGCATAAGACAATCAATGTTTGCTCATATTAAAATAAATCAAGATTAAGAACAATAAACATTATTTCTAATGTCTTAGAGAATATGTTTAACAGTCATTACTAAATCTAATGTCCCTAGAGAATATGTTTAAAAGTCAGTACTAAAACATCCATTCTCTAACTTGGTCCAATTAAAAATACATACAAAATGTACTAATCAAAACAATTATTGTTCATATGGCCTAATAACATTTATTTAATGCAAAAATTTTCCCAAATTAATACAAAGAAATAATTGTCAATAGAAATCAATTCATAGCTATACTAATTACATATGCAATGGGTTAATAGTTAAATATCTCTATCAAAAGAGACTGCTAGGATTTGCAGGTAACGCAAAAAATCCAATTAAATACAAAGAAATAATTGTCAATAGAAAATCATTCATAGCTATACTATTACATATGCATGGTTAATAGTATATCTCTATCAGAGACTGCTAGATTTGCAGGGTACGCAAAAAATCCAAGTGTTTTCTTAAAGAATGGAAGTTACTCTGCTTTTCTGGAGTTGTTTATGGAACAGGGTCCCATTCTGGAGGCTTAAGGTAGACTAATTTTCACTGGTAATATTATCCCTTCATAGACATGTGAATAATGAATATGGCTTTGATGATGATGATTTTGTGCATTGATATCGTGGGATTCTGTGGCTCCAGTAATAACAAAATCTTATGTTGACCAGTGCTAAGATTAAGGAGAGAAGTATGTAATTATGTAAATATTTCATAGTTGTATTCTTTTCTACTGTATGAATAGCTGTATCCATGAAGAAGAAATATGTAATCCTGAGAGTTTCTCTTATTTGTAATTTGGAATCCCTTTTCATTGACATGGTATCAAAGCCTCGTTGCTCTGTATCAATTTTACAAGGTGTGATCTAAACTTTAAGCTCTCTTTACTTGTTGCTTTCTTGTTGACATTGAGTATGAAAAATCAGATAGCGTATCAATCAAATTTAATGGTAAACACCTATGGTCTTTGGGAATTTATTTTCAACTATATGTTGAAGGAAAAGATTTTTCTGGAATTCTTGATGGTTCAATTTCTACACCTAAAGATGTAAAGGAAAAGAGTCAATGGAAAATTAAAAATGCTAGTGTCATGCGATAGAGATATACTATTAACCATGCATATATAATAGTATGTTTTTAGTGTTATTTCTTTGTACAATTATTTCTATGTATTTAATTGCAGATTTACATTAAATAAATAAATTTTTTAGTATATTTTATAATAATGGTGTTAGTACATTTTGTATGTATCAAACTGGACTAAGTATAAAATAGTTGTTTTATACTGACTATTAAAACTGACTATTAAAACATATTATCTAGGATCTTAGAAACAAGATTTATGTTCTTAATCTTGATTTAATTAATATAATATACATTGCTTTGTGCTTTAGTTGATTAAAGAGTGAGTTTCATTTATCGGGACAATAATTCTCGGTGAATTGTTCAAAAGCAATTTGTATTTGTTAAATATTAATTAATGATAGAACCCGTGTTTCGGTTTAAAGGATGACCATGCGCTTTAAGTAAGCTTATAAGATTTCATTGTGTAAACCTTGCAGGTGAATTTTTGATTTGACACATCAAATAAGTTAAGCGACTATCTTAAATATTAAAATTGTTATTTAAATAAATTGTCAGTGATTTATTTTTTTTAACAAGCATCTGTAATCTTTACATATGAATATAAATTATTATGTTAAAGCACACAATCCCATTAAGACAGTATAAAAACATTCAAGATCTATCAACAAGGAATGATCTAAGAGATTACGTCCAAAATTTGCTCTAAACGAACATCGATGGTGTATCAAATGGTGAATACAGTTCAAAAATAGGTGCACAAAACTAGTTTATGCGATCATTCAGTTAGGCCTAATCCTGTCATTTTCGTATCATCAATTCACGCCTCAAAATAGCCAAGAGCAAGCCTTACTCTAGTTTCATTAAATAAGGCCACACCTCGTTGATTCTCAGATTAGAATTTAGCGCCGCGTTGTACAAGGTCTAGCCTTATCGAATGTTGATCTTACAGGACCATGTCCTATGACAAGTTTGATGCACCATTTATCAAGTTCTCATTAACTTCTATTTTTCATCAAGACTTTTATGCTATTCTAATTCTTAATTAGTTCTTTAGGGTTAGAAGGAAAAGAATCCATATAAAATAGTCCTTGAATATTCATTATTCTTATCTTTTCAATCATAAGTGGTGATAAGTGTGCAAGAGACTAGGAATTTAGCCTTGAAATCAAGATGGTTATGAGATACGAACCTTTTCAAAAGTATGACAACCAAGTTGCAGCTGAGAAGGAGAATGGGAAAGCAACTCAAGGAGCCTCTAATTCAGGTAGTACCAATATAGAAAAGGCAAATACCAAAACTTCAGCAAGTGGAGGAGGTAACAAATGTACTAATTGTAATATTTTGAAAGCTCCCAACTCTTATACAGATTTACACCTATCACGTTTTACATGTGTAATGTATCAGGCAACATTCCAAAGAACGTTCACAAAGAAAATCAGTTGATGTGGTAGGGAAACAAGATGAAAATGAAGAATATATGTTTTGTGCACTTGATGGGGATGATGACGAGGAAGAATATGAATAAGGAAAGTATTTATGCAGTGAGAAAGTTCATTCTTTCACTAAACTTAAAAGACACAAATCAAAGATGCAAGCTTTTTAGGACCGGATGCATATATGAAAGGCCGATCATAGGTTTATTTTTGTAGTTATTTTAATATAGATTTTTATTTGGATTTTTGGTACTTTTAATTACTTTAGGAAATTTTTATATAGCTTTAGTTAAGTGCTATTCAATTTTAATTTTTGCTTCCTTGATTTTATTAAGCTCAAATTAAATGATTTTTGAGGGATTTTTATTAAGATTGGAAAAAACTTACCTAGATGGGTCTATGGCCTCACTTATAGATCAAACAAATAAAGTTAAAAATTCTTTAAAAAGTGTTCTGATTTTATCTTTATTTTCCAAATGTATATTTATAAATATCATCGTTTCAATAAAAATCATTAATTTCATTGATTTAGCACATAAATCGAGTCATGGATCCGGTTTAGGTAAGTTTTTCTGATTAGGAAGTAGCTAATTATGGAAACAAGGGAGTTTGAAGCTGAAAAAGGCAAGAAAAAAAGATATGATTTCAAGAGGTAGTATAAAACATAGCCTGCCCATGTTATTTTGCACAGCCGTATTTTCTTAGTTGCTGGAATTTCAATTTGGCCCGTGTTTGAATGTTGAGCCCATGTCATATACCGAGATTTGGACATG